GAGGTTGATTAATTGAACGTCATATCAATTCTTTAAAGTTGAATACATGCCTCACAAAATACGCCCAAAGAATATGTCAATATAGACCCGATTTATACTTTTGTAGACATAAGTTCCGTTTACACTAGAGTCAAAAAGGTAGATATAACCCCAGTTTCAATCAGGGGTCCAAAATCTAGATAAGTGTCCAGTTTAAATGAGAGTCAGTAATTTTCTATCAGTTACATAAATTTTATCGCAGTATCTTGTTATAATTATTCTATTTTATTATCAGTTATCAATGAACATGGATGACAGCAGTTGTCCGAAAGTTTTTGAAAGAATGTAGTGAGATTCACTAAAGCGGAGATCCTGAATTCACATTATCTATCTATCTATCTATCTATCTATCTATCTATCTATCTATCTGTCCTTTCATATATATCTCAGTCTATTCATATATCTCTCGCAGTCTGTTCCTATCTATCTATCTATCTATCTATCTATCTATCTATCTATCTATCGCGGTCTGTCTCTTCATTTCTGTTCTTTCATATCTATCTCTCAATCTTAGTCTATTCCTATCTATCTATCTATATATCTATCTATCTATCTATTTCAGTCTATTCATATATATCTCTCAGTCTGTTCCTATCTATCTATCTATCTATCTATCTATCTATCTATCTATCTATCTGTCTGTCTGTCTGTCTGTCCTTTCATATATATCTCAGTCTATTCATATATCTCTCGCAATCTGTTCCTATCTATCTATCTATCTATCTATCTATCTATCTATCTATCTATCTGTCTGTCCTTTCATATATATCTCCGTCTATTCATATATCTCTCGCAGTCTGTTCCTATCTATCTATCTATCTATCTATCTATCTATCTATCTATCTCAGTCTGTTCATATCTCTCTATCAGTCTCTTCCTACCTATCTAAGTAAAAGAGAGTATGAAAACTATTATTATCTATCTAATACTAGTATTATTTTAATCCCTGTGCTCTCAACGAGTCAACATTTTCCATCGTCGTCCTTTAGAAAACTCAGAAAATGATTCCATATTCAAATTTATGCAATTCAGTAATCTAAACAGTATCTGATTAGCATTGCCTTCATGATTCTCTTTTGTTTCGCAAACTGGGAGGCTCGAACTCTTGCCTCTGATTAAATACGACCCTCCGCAATAGTCATTGTCGCTTTGTCCATCTGGCCTTTATTTCTCGTTCCTGCTAATGTATTATTGCAGCATTTGGTCTCTGTTTTCTCTGCAGAGAGCGCAGAAGCTGAAATAATGTGATAAAACAATTCAGACGGGCCAAAAAAAATGCTATAAAACGAGGCATAGAAGCGGACAATTCATCCGAACGAGCCAATAGTTACAACACCAGGAGGTAATCAGTCCGAATGACACAATAGGCGGTGATTAGACTATTAAGGTTCAATTAATCCGAATTAACAAAGATGCAATCATTTCCGCATCGGGATTTTCAATTTAGCTTTAACTTCTCTTCTTCTCTGCGTCATTTGTTTGAAGAAACCAGGTTTGACAGAAGGCTATATCGCTGGGTCACCCAGTGAGGAACAGTGTTATCTTCAGGAGAATTTGTTACAAAGCCAGGGCAAAAACCGGCACTGTAGGGGACGCCAGTATCTCCATGACTTTAGAAGACAGAATGGGGAACGTTAAAATCAAGCAGACAGAAATTTAAATATACTCTGTTCCTATCTATCTATCTATCTATCTATCTATCTATGTCCTTTCATATATAACCCTCAGTCTATTCATATCTATCTCTCAGTCTGTTCATATCTATCTATCTATCTATCTATCTATCTATCTATCTATCTATCTATCTCTCTGTTTCAGTTTGTTCTTTATCTATCTATCTATCAATCTATCTATCTATCTCAGTCTGTTCATATCTATCTATCTATCTATCTATCTATCTATCTATCTATCTATCTATCTATCTATCTATCTGTTTCAGTTTGTTCTTTATCTATCTATCTATCTATCTATCTATCTATTTATCTATCTATCTATCTATCTATCTCAGTCTGTTCATATCTATCTATCTATCTATCTATCTATCTATCTATCTGTTTCTGTTTGTTCTTTATCTATCTATCAGTCTGTTCATATCTATCTATCTATCTATCTTAGTCTTTTCATATCTATCAATCTATCTATCTGTTTCAGTTTGTTCTTTATCTATCTATCTATCTATCTATCTATCTATCTATCTATCTATCTATCTATCTATCCCAGTTTGTTCATATTCTATCTATCTATCTATCTATCTATCTATCTATCTATCTATCTATCTGTTGTAGCAGTCGTACGAACAATAACGGATATGTCCCCATTTACATAAATACAGTAGTGAATACTGTATGTTGGTCTGTAATTGGAGATTCATCGTGGAATTCACTTGACTCACTTCTAGCAGTTGACGGCGAATCTCACATGTGTTGTTCTTGTCGTAAGTATTATCGCTCATTACCAACCTTTGATTATTCTATTAAGTAACCTTCCCTAGGTTACCCCCACTATCCTAGTCTGTTAATTTTCTATCTATCTATCTATCTATCTATCTATCTATCTATCTATCTTATTTCTCGCATCACTCTCTCTATTCGATCCTATTCCCATCTATCTTCCTATACAATCGCGTTCATATCTATCTATCTATCTATCTATCTATCTATCTATCTATCTCTATTTGTTGTAGCAGACGTACGAACAATAACGGATATGTTCCCATTTACATAAATACAGTAGTGAATACTGTATGTTGGTCTGCAGTTGGAGATTCATTGTGGAATTTACTTGACTCTCTTCTAGCCGTTGACTACTAATTCTACGCGCCACTGGTAAATCTTATATGTGTTGTTCATGTCTTAAGTATTATCGTTCATTACCAACCTTCTGAATAGAATAATCAAACGAAGTCTGATTAATCAATTTTTAATAATCAAACGATAGTTACTATCCCAGTCTGTTAATTTCTATCTATCTATCTATCTATCTATCTATCTATCTATCTATCTATCTCAGTCTGTTCATATCTATCTAATACCAGTATTATTTTTATCCCCGTGATCACAACGATTCAACATTTTACATAATCGGCTTTTATTTCCCGTTTCTGCTAATGTATTACTGCGGCATTTGGTCCTTGTTTTCTCTTCGTTAAAATCAAGCACGGACATTTCAGGCGCATAGGAACAGTGGAAGATGTCTTGCAGAAGTTAGGCAAAGTAAGAATTAATAGGAAAATGCGATAGAAAGAAAGAACTCAGAACATGTATTTAATGTCTAATCTCCTATAACGAGGCTTACGGCCATATCACGTCCAAACACAGGTTCTCGTGCGATCACCCTGTAGTATATTGCTGCTGGGGTCAGATAAGGCGACGGACGCTTATATATAAAAATATATACATATCTTTATTTTTCGAATTACGGCGAATGGATAGAGGGAGGGAGAATCACAGAGATTAGGAATGTGAACACGGGAATTGATGGAGATATATCTTCAGTGAACCTCTAGTCATCCTCTTTGTCTAGATCAAGAATCGGACCGGTTACATAACATTTGGATACCTACGCAACTTCACATGGCTACGTATTCTTCATGTATGTCACCTACGTGTTTCATTCCGCTCAGTACTCCTATGCGCCTTGTTTATTCAAGACTCATAATACCTCTACGTCCTGCTCATTTTAGCTACTGGATGCATTTTCTGTTTATAATATCATCAGTTCCGATTACAGCTCACACATTGATGCAGCGGACGTAAGGCCAAAGGTCTTTCCTCAAACGATATCCAACAAGTGAAGTTAAGCAAAGTCGAGCCTGGTCAGTAACTAGACGCGTGACCGATTGGGAATACCAGGTGGTGTAAGTTCGGATGTGTGGGTGGCACGGCTTAGGGCTACATCACGTTGAAGAACCGATTTCCGTACGATCACCGAAGTTAAGTAATGTCGAGCCTGGTCAGTACCTAGATAGGTAACCTTTTGTGAATATCAAATTCTGTAAGCTTGGATATGTGGGTAGTGTAATGGATAACGGCTCGAATTTGTAGATCGGAAAGTTCCAATTCCAGTTGGGTTCGTTATATTCATCTATGCCAAATATCTTTGGGAAAGGTATGAATCCAGCCCTTCTCTCCCCTAGATATGGGTTAATTAGTAGGACTTGTATTAGTAAATAATTATTATCCCCCAAGATGTCTTACAATCTAAAAGTATGTTCTGGTTTTAAATAACCCGCAAAAGGTTGATAAGCCGTAAAAAATAAATCAGTTAATCAATTCTATATGATAACGAATGCTGGACAATCTCATTACAAATGAAGAACAGAGATGTGTTTCCAAGGATGCTGAGGGTACCATGGAAGGAACATATGAGTAACGAGGAAGAAAGTTTCTGGTACAGATAATGAGGAAAGAGAGGTTGGAGAATTTAACACTCACAGGACATTCGAAAAGGAAAAATTACAAGCAAATACCCTATTTAATATATTTAATGAATGGCTGGTAGAACAAGGATGAAGAGTGACATTGAAGCCTCAAAGGTTAAAGCAATAAAATCTAGGAAATTGTGGAGAGCCATGACTTTTTACGTTTCAAAAGGACATGGAAAACAAAAGACGAAATCTATTTCTGATTTAGTTACTATTTGTTTTTTTTTTCCAGACCAGCCGTCTGATACAGGAAGTGGAGGAGAGCCATGAATGATTACATCGCTAGAGCACAGGAAACATAAATAAAGACTCTTCCGGTTTTTGTCACAACTTTTTCCCTCACAGATCCATCGCTTGATATAGGAAGTCATGGAGAGCCATAGTCGCTTAGTTCTGAAAGTCACTTCCTGTTTTTGATCATTATTTTTCTCTTTCTACATATCTTTTCAGATTTATGAAGTTGTGGAGAACCATGTTCGCTTACGTCTTAAAAGTGCCTGACACATAGATATGAAAGTTATGTCTGTTTTTATTCGTTGTTTTTCACTTCCTTCATCAGTCGTTTGATGTAGGAAGTTGTGGAGAAGCATGATCGTTTATGTCTTGAAATGACATGGTACATAAAAGAAGTATTTTTTTCTGTTTTCGTCACTATTTTTCTCTTCCTAGATATCGTCGTCCTATATAGGAGGTTGTGGAGAGCCATGATCGTTCAAAAGAGGGGATGACACATGAAAGAAGTCATTTCCCGGTCGCTGTTTACCTCCTCCATAAATCCTTTATTGTTTTTAATCTCTCAGTTTTTCTCTCAACAGATCTGTCGTTTGATATAGGAGGTGGTGGAGAGCCATGATCGTTTATGTTTTGAAAGAACATAAAAAAAAGAAGAAATCTCTTTCTCTTTTAGGTTACTGTTTTTCTCTTCCCTGATCCGAAATTTCATATAGAAAGTTGTGGAGAGCCATGATCGTTCGATCGTTTATGGCACATAAAACCTGAAGTTTTTTTGTCTTACTTGATGCGTCGTTTGATGCAGGAAGTTGTGGAGAGTCATGATCGTTTTCAAACTAAACGAACGAGGCTAGTAAAAGTTGACGTCTTTTTCCTGTTTTTTAGTTTTTAGTTGTTTTTTTTTCTCTTTGCTTGATCCGTCGTTTGATATAGGAAGTCGTGGAGCACCATGGTCATTTGCGTTCTGAAAAGACGAGATTTCCTATAGAAAAGACATGGCGCATAAAACCTGAAGTTATTTTCCTGTTTTTGGTTGCTGTTTCTTTTGTTTTGATCTGTTGTTTGATGTAGGAAGTTGTGGAGAGCCACGACCGTTTGCATCCTGAAAGGACATGGCAGATAAAAGATAAGGACTTTTCCTTTTTTTTAGTTGCTGTGTTTTTCTATTACTTGATCCGTCATTTGATGTAGGAAGATGTAGAGAGCCATGATCATTTACTCCCTGAAAAGACATGACACGTAAAAGATGAAGTGTTTTTCCTGTTTTTCTTTCCTGTTACTTATTAATTGATATATCGTTTAATATAGAAAGTTGTGAAGAGCTATGGTCGTTTACATCCTGAAATGACATGGTAAATAAAAGATGAATTTTTTCCTGTTGTTAGTTGCAGTTTTTGTCTTACTTGATGCGTCGTTTGATGTAAGAAGTCGTGGAGAGTCATGATCATTTGCGTTCTGAAAGGACGAGGCACATTAAAGACAATCTTTTTCCTGTTTTCAGTTGCTGTTTTTTCTACTACTTGATCTGTCTTTTCATGTTGGAAGTTGTGGAAAGTCATGATCGTCGACGCCCTGAAAAGACATGACACGTAAAAGATGAAGTCTTTTTTCCTGTTTTTAGTTGCTGTTTTTTGTCTTACTTGATGCGTCGTTTGATGTAGGAAGTCGTGGAGAGTCATGATCGTTTACAAACTGAACGAACGAGGCTAGTAAAAGTTGACGTCTTTTTCCTGTTTTTTAGTTTTTAGTTGTTTTTTTTTCTCTTTGCTTGATCCGTCGTTTGATATAGGAAGTCATGGAGCACCATGATCATTTGCGTTCTGAAAGGACGAGGCATATAAAAGATGACGTCTATTTCCTGTTTTTAGTTGCTGATTTTCTACTACTTGATCTGTCGTTTCATGTAGGAAGTTGTGGAGAGCCATGATCATCTACGTCCTGAAAAAACATGACAAGTAAAATATGAAGTCTTTTCCCTGTTTCCACTTGCTGTTTTTTCTTACCTGATAAGACGTGTGATGCCGGAAGTTGTGGAGAACCATGATCATTTACGTCCTGAAAGGAGATGGCACGTAAAAGATGAAGTCTTTTTTCCTGTTTTTAGTTGCTGTTTTTTGTCTTACTTGATGCGTCGTTTGATGTAGGAAGTCGTGGAGTGTCATGATCGTTTGCATACTGAAAGAACGAGGCTAGTAAAAGTTGACGTCTTTTTCCTTTTTTTTTTTTTTTAGTTTTTAGTTGTTGTTTTTTACGTCTTGCTTGATCCATCGTTTGATATAGGAAGTCGTGGAGCACCGTGATCATTTGCGTTCTGAAAGGACGGGGCATATAAAAGATGACGTCTTTTTTTCCTGATTTTAATCGTTGTTTTTTGTCTTACTTGATACGTCGTTTGATGTAGGAAGTTGGGGAGGGCCAGGATCGCTTACTATCTGAAAGATATAAAAATTTGTCGTTAACAGATTTTTTTTTTTTGTTTAATCGCTGTTTTTCTTTCAATTTATTTCATTTTAGCATTGAAACGATTATTTCACACTTAGGGGATTCTTTAGTCTGTCCATGTTTTTAAAAAATGGCTGAAGGACTCCATTATAAAGCAATAAGAGATTTGTTGATTTCCATTTGGGCTTCATTTAACAAAAGCAAGTTCAGTTCAAGTTCATCAAAAGCCAGAGTGAATAATAATAATAATAATAATAATAATAATAATAATAATAATGAGGAAACATTATAGTGTCTTTGTAAAATAGGATCGACACCCAACGCAGCCGACAAATTCACTGAATGAATCGGGCCCATTAGAGTTT